ATATATATATATAATTCCACCATGATTACAATCTTTTTGAGGCAATGTGACCACTCAGTCTAATTAGATATGATTATTTATGATGAATATGGGGGTGTAGATTAAGCTTTGTTGGGTGATTTTTATTATATGAAGAGTGAAAGGGGAGTTTTCAGATATAAATTATGCATATTAATTTTAATTGTCTATTTAGTTTAATAAATATATAATTTTATAAATATTTTAATTGTTTTATAATATAAAATAATAATATTAAGAAATGAACTTTATAGTTTTTTATAATATCTCAATTATTTTTTAATATAAGCATTTATCATGGTTTTTTTATGGGTTATAAAAATCTGTGTATAGGATCATATTTAATAACTTATAGTATACTTTGTTCTCACTTTTTAGTAAAAAGAATGATGTTTGCGATTGAATTTCCATCTCTTTTTCTTTATATATAGATGGAGGGTTCGAGGAAAATTCCTCAAAAAATGAAAAATTGAAGAACATTCTAGTAACCATTCATCTAGACGGTATATACATGTGCATATAAGTAATTAAAGTTGTTTTTTGGTTTTTTATGCACGTGTGCATGTTATGCACATGTACATACTAGATAAATTGCTTATAAATTATTTGTATGCACATGTGTACACCGTCTAGATAAATTGGTCTTACGGGTCTCACCAAAAACCATTGGTCTCACGTAAACCCAACTATATATATGATATAAGTGAATATTATATATAAAAGTAGAATAAGGATGTTACTTGAAATCATATCATAATTACAAAAATTCAACGGTTAACGTCTAACATGATTAATTCAAATAAAGATCATCCCATGCCAAGGAAAACATGACTCCTAATTATATCACAAAATGAATACAATTATTATTATTAAATATATGTCTTAACAAATTGTTTGTCGTCGCCCATTGCCATTGCTTAGATTTCAATTTATTTAATCCTAAATTATCTTACTAATAAATCATTAGCTCACTCTCTCTCTCATTATCTTAGTCATCAAAAACATTCTATTTGATTTGATATACTATCACAACTAATTTCATACTCAATTTTTAACCCATATATTAATTTGTGGTTAATATTGGTTCTCACAGTTACTACAAACTAATTAGTTCTCATTTGATTAGGCCCATATATATATATATATATATA